TTTCGGCACACATTTTGACCCCGTGGGGGTAACGAAGTGCTGCCGAAATTTGTGAAAAATCCAAAACTTGGTTAGTTTCTCTTCACTCTCCTCCACCTCCTTATTTATTTATCTATTTATTTATTTATTTACTTATTTTTTTGAAAATTTTAATTTGCGGCATTGTAAAAATTAGTGTGCTTCTCTTAGTCTCTCCTTTCTCTTTGCACATTTTGACCCCGTTGGGGTAAGAAAATGCTGCCGAAATTTAAAAAAAAATAAATAAGTCCTCTTCCCTTGCTCTTTACATTTTTTATTTTATTTTTTTAATTTCTTCTTATATTTTATTTTTATCTCGAAATTTTATTGCTTATTCTATTTTCTTTCCCCCTCCCCTCCATATTATTTTTTTTCTTGATTAGGTCGCCGCTACCCTCCCCTAACCACCTAAACTCCGGTTAGGGTTTTCTTAGGGTTTTCTAGGGTTTAGGGTTCTCCTAACTCCCGCCCCCCTTCCCACTCTCCCGCCTTCTCCCATCGGGCGCCCTGGACCTGGATGGCTCCTCCCCCCTCGAGCGGTTCGGTGCCTTCGTCTCACGCGCGACCCGCAAAATCCGAGGCGAGCCGACTCACACATACTCACTCCGCTCCCGCGGTCCCCTTCCTCTTACCGGTGGGCCCCTTTCACCACGGCGCAGTCCACACCCCAGGTCATGGAAGGGAGTTCATCCGAGGAGATCGCCGCGGCGCAGTCCACACCCCAAGTCAGCGCGCCGTCAGCGGCTCATGATCAGGCCCATGCGGACACCATGGACCTTCACACCACCTTATAGCAATCCAGGCACAACTTAGTACGCTTGGACCATTGCAAGCGCATATCAATGAGCTAGCCCTCGACGTCAGCCGCCTCAAGGGTTCCCCTCATCGCTCTCCCCACCGCTCTCACACCCCTTCCCCTACCGGCTTCGATTCTGACTCCCCAGGACTCCGGAGACGGAGTCACTATGGTTCCCCCTCCTCTGCGGGCCACGCCCAACAATCCGCCTCAGCGGTGGCGAGTGCTGCTGCCGCTCAGACCACCCCGTCCGTTGCGGCAGTTCTTCCCGCCACGGCCGCCCCTACCGTCTCTACTACTGCCGTAGGTGCTGCGGTCCAGGTACCGCCTTCTGGCCCAGCAGTTTCATCGACCCACACCGGTGTTGCTTCCCAACTTCCCGCACCGGTCGCGACAATGCGGCTCCGCCCTCTTCTTCCTGCCTTCGTCCCCCCGCCCCCACAGCAGGGTACCGCCCAGGCTGGGATTCCTCCTCCCACTAGGAGACCCGCTCCGCCCCCTCCACCTCCGACCCCGCGCACCCAACGAGTGGCCACTTTACAGGCCACCATTGCGCAGGCTCAGGCGAAGATTCTCGCTCTGAGACAGCCTCACCCATCAGAGGCTGCCCATCCTTCTTCCTCTACCACCCCTTCGGTCCCCATGATGCAGGCTCGTTTCCCTCGACCTGCTCCTCAGCCTCTTCCCTCTTACCTGGCTATTCTGGGATAGCTGCCCACGGTCGTTGCCTCCTCGTCTGCTGGTACATCAGCCAGTAGCCATGACCCACAGCCTTCCCCCACCTCCGCCCCAGCAGCGGCCTCGACTTACGCTGCCGCAGTGCACTCGCCTCGATCTCTCTCCCCCCGCCATCAAACAGTGGACATCGTCCTGTGCGCACCACGGACATTCCCGAGTATGATGGGACATCTCGTGTCTCTCGCTGGTTGCAGATAGCAACGCGCACACTCTCTATGACGACCACCCGCCAGGAGTTGTGGTGCGATGTGCTCGCAACCAAATTGCGAGGTAGCCCTTCCACTGCGTGGGAGGATCATTATACCCAACGCCTCCGCGTGGGTGAGGTCCCCACTCTGGCCGACTTCGCGGCCTTCCTTCAGGACCGTTTCGGCGCTCGTCATGACGCCACCGACGTCTTAGACCGCGTCACCCAGACCAGATGGTCCGGGTCCTCTATACCGGCCGACCGAGAGCATCACATCCGGGTGTTTCAGGACGCTCACCTTGTTTGTGACGAGATGTTCCTACCGGAGGTCACACTCACCGACCGGTTCCTTGTTAGCCTGCCGACTGACTACCGCCTAGAGCTATGGAGGCGGTCATTCTTTTCCRCGGAGCAGGCATACGAGGCTGCGCGTCAGTACCAAAGGATGTGCAGTCGCTTCTCCGTCGCCCCATCCTCTTCGCGGCCAGCCCCCACCTCACAGTCTCGGGGTACCACCCGAGGCCGCTCCTCGTTTGCTGGTCGTTTTCGTCGCCCGGCTCGACCTGGAGCACCATTCGCTCGGCACTACAATTCTCTCGAGTATGGAGAGGACGCCTCAGCCGAGCTCGATCCTACCATTGGGGACGCCCCCGAGGACATCGAGCTTCGGGACGTCATCCAGTACCACTTGGATGACGACACTGTCCCAATGGCCGAGCGCCTGCAGATAGCCATGTCTGCCATGGGTCGTGCACGCAGTTGGGTTGCACAGGCTGGCGCCCGCACACCCACAGTTCCTCAGATAGACCTCCCGCAGGGTTTTGTCCCTCCTCGCGGAGCTCTATCCCCCTAGGAGCGTGCCGCCCTCGAGGCCCGACGAGGCTGCCTTCGTTGCCGCCAGGATGGACACACCTCCTCACAGTGTCCATACCACACCGCCCTCGATCGGTACTACGCTGACATT